ATGGTGGATAGGCAGGTATCAGCCAACACCCACTCCGTTACCTCACAAGGTTACACCCAGCATCAGCTGCAGCTCCTCAGAGGCTTCTCGGCACTGGAAGTTGCCTGGATGGCCCCTCTGATGGCTGCCTCTGAAATCTAACTCCACCCGCGACCTCTGACCCATTCAGAGCCCAAGACCACCTTCAGTCCAGGTCCCCAGTCCGGGGGCCTGAGGCCATCACCTTGTGGAATGCCACACCTCAGAAAAGTAGCAGCCCCCTATGAATTGGCCCTTAGTGTCCCCAGCTGCCATCACCTCTGGGCAGCTTCTGGGCCTCTGAACCCTCTTGAGGGTGTGACTCTGTGTCTCGGTGCCGGTTGGCCTCAAAGTGCCTCAGAGTAGGCCTGTAACCCCTATGAAGGACAGTGTAGTCCCTCACCCGGGACAACCTCAGAGCTCTGGTGACCCAGCCATTTGGCACCAGAGGCCAGGACAAGCATGGCCACTCTGCTGCACTGCTCAGAGCAAAGTGCCCAGGAAAGAGCCCCCCCCCCCACTTAGTCCTCCAGGTGTGACTAGGGACCATAAACCCAATTCTTCAGTTGTTTGGAGGTGGGAATTAGAGGCCAGCTGTCAAGCCTCAGCTCTGCACAGCTTGGTGATGGTCTCCAATCCATTAACATCCAAGTGGAAACCCCTGGCCCCACCCCTGGGTGCTTGGTGCTCACCTAATAACTGGGACACTGAGAAGCACCTACAGAGTACAAGCAACAGCACACAGGGAGACTCTGGGAGTCATCTTAAAGCAGATGCCCATAGGACACAGCAGCCAACAGCAGGAAGGGCCTGGTCACCCCTCAGCCCCCGCCCTGTGCCCTTCCTGACCCCAGCGTGGCCTCCTTGCCCCAGGAACCCTTCCTTCTGACCCTTCACTGCTTGCTTTCTAGTTTAATAGCCCAGACACACCTCTCTATCAAGCTGCCTTTTATCTTTACGATGTCTCTCTCTCCTTCTGTGTATATGCATGTATGTGTGTGTATGTGCATATTTTGGCGTTTCTACATCTCTCAAATTCACTCATATGGGTGTAAGAACAATTCATGTTTCTTTGCTGTATAATATTCCACACCAGCTAGGTGGTGGTGGTGCATGACTTTAATCCCAGCACTTGGGAGGCAGAAGCAGGCAGATCTCTGAGTTCAAGGCCAGCCTGGTCTACAAAGTGAGTTCCAGGACAGCCAAGGCTACACAGAGAAACCTGGTCTTGAAAACAAAAGCAAAACAAAACAAAACTTCCTCACCACTATTGTCTATTTCTCTCTGTCACCTATAGGAACCCATTTGGGGTCATAGTGATGTCAGAATTTGGGATTCCTCAGCCAGAAGGGAAATGTCTGTGGTGACAGAGTCAACAGCCCTTCAGCTGTACCTCACAAATGCAAAATTAGGGCTGGGAATGTAGCTCAGTTGGTAAAGTTCTTGCAAGGCAGGCATGAGGACCCAAGTTCAATGCCAGAACTCACGCACAAATGCCAGGTGTGGTGGCACATGCTTGCAATCCCAGCTTTGAAGAGCCAGAGGCAGGAGGATGCCTAGGGCTTTCTTCTAGGTAGCCCAGCATTGGTTCAGTGGAAGACTGTATGTTAGGGAGTTGCCATGTTCCTGGGGATGACGCCCAGGGTCTTTCTCTGACTTCCACCTGTGTACATACCTTAAAAAGAAAAAGCAGCTGGGTGTGGTAGTGGCACACCTTTAATCCCAGTAGGAGACAGCAGAGGCAGGCAGATTTCTTGAGTTTGAGGCCAGCCTGATCTTCAGAGCAAGTTCCAAGACAGCCAGGACTACACAGAGAAACCATGTCTCAAATAAACAAAAAAATAAGAAGAAAGAAAGAAAGAAAAAGAAAGTTAGGAAGAGTTTGTTTCACACAGAGAGTAACACGGGGTTCCTCCATGAGCCCTGGGATGTGCAGCCACTGAGAAAAGGGACTGTCACCAAAACCCTGTTAGCAACCAGTTCCAAACCACCGTGGAGAGAGGAAGGCGTTCCTTATGTACAGACAGATAGTGCCCGCTCCAGTGCCGCAGGATCTGTGCCTTGCCCCACATTGCAAGTTTGCTGGAGGTATGCTTCAGCCCCTGTGCAGGGCCGGCCCATGGTCTCTCCAGTTGCTGTGATCTGATTCTGGGTGACTCTGGGTCACACCAGCTCATTGCCTGTTGTCATACCATGTCATCCAAGCTGGCCTCAAACTAGCAGCAATCCTCCTGCTTGGTCTACCTAGTGCTGGGAAAACAGGCATCTTGTAGCTTTCCAGTTCTGGGAAGATCTGCTGATTTTCTTACTGTTCTCTGCTGGCTTGGCTTCCTTTTCTCCGGGCTGTCCGCTATAACCTGACACACCATAAATGCTGAGCATTTGCGATCCTGAGCACCCAGTTAGGCACTAGAGTTAGCTGAATTGGAGGGTTGGGCAAAGAGGTCACTGCCTGCCCTGTGAGGTGACAATGGAAAAGGGAGCCACAAGGAGAAAATAAACACACAAATAAAAAGGTCGTGCTGCACTGTGGTGGTGTTGCAAGTGCTCACCACACTTAACCCTTTGGCAAGGCTCTAGTTATCCAGGCATGACCACCAGGATTCCCCACCTACTATCTGTCCATCAACTGTGGACTTGTGCTGTGCTTCAGACATAGCTGGCCTTGCAGCAGGGCTTCTATGCAACCCTGGCCCCTTTATCTCACAGGAACCAGCTGCAAGCTTAGCCTTCCCAGTAGCCCCCATGATAAGATAAGCCAGTGGGGTAGAGACAGCTCAGCAGTCAAGGGTACTTACTGGTTACAGACAATCCAAGTTCTGTTCCCAGCACCCATGTTCGGAGGCTTACAAGTTGCTGCAACTCCTGCTCCGGGGACTCTGATGCCCTCCTCTGGCCTCTGAGGGTACTGCACCAATGTGCTCACATCGCTTCCACATCATTAAAATTTTGTATTTTTCTCCCTAAGACAGGGTTTCTCTGCAGCTTTTGGAAACTGTCCTGGAACTCATTCTGTAGACCAGGCTGGTCTTGAACTCACAGAGATCAACCTGCTTCTGCCTCCCAAGTGTTAGCCAACCTGGTTTACAAAGTGAGTTATAGGTCAGCTAGAGCTACACAGAGAGACCCTGTCTCGAAAAAGTAAATAATTAAATAAAAAAATAATAAAATAAAAGGCCATTGGCTGTAGGAAGGAAGGATGGTGCTTAACCTCTACTGGGCCCTCTCATGACTGGCTAGGGGACATAACTAAAGAGCAACAGCACCTAGACCTGGCATGACGGTGCACATACATTAATCCCAGCACTCAGTTAGAGGCAGGTGGATCTCTAGGAATCTGAGGCCAAGCTGGTCTACACACTGAGTTTCAGGCAAGGCAGGCAGGACTACATAGTGAGACCCTGTGAGACACTGAGTCAAAAAAAAGAAAGAGAGAGAGAGAGAGAGAGGGAGAGAGAGGGAGAGAGAGGGAGAGAGAGGGAGGGAAGAAGGAAGATAGGAAGGAAGAAGGAAGGAGAAGAAAAGATGAGGCCATCTCCATCACCCCTAGAATGCCTACAGAGTGGAGAGCAGCCTGGGGAAACTGAGACCTAGAGGAGACGCAGGCAGCATCTGGGTCTAAGGAAGTCCTGGCTAGCCCTGACCTGCTGTGTGTCCTCTAGATCCCCGTCAGTCCCCCACCAGCTGAACCACAGGTGGTAGCCCCAATTTGTTCCCTACCCATTAACAGCCCGAACTGGGAGCAGAACTCCGCCAGCTTCGGGAGCTGACACCCCTATTCTTATTCAATTCCACCCCGCCTCCCTCCACCCTGCAGTGTCACCTGGCAAACATCTGTTCTGTGAATCAAAGCACTGGGGACTCGCCAGGTTTGCTGGGTCCCTGAGAATCTCTTGAGCCCTTTGGAGACATCAGGCTGGAGCTGCGAAAAGTTAAAAAGCTCCTCAGCAGGCACAAAGTAGCCCCAAAGTGGCTCCATTAGGTCACAGGGCTGAGGCAGCGAGCCTCAGATTCCACCCCAGGGCAGCGCCTCTGACCCTCGAAGGAAAACACCAGGATGGTTCCGGCCGGAGAAGCCTGACTGGAAGGCCATTGTGCAGGGACCCAGGGCTTTGTTTAGGAGGAAGGTGACATTCAGGGACGTGTGAGACGGTGCAGTCCGTGTGCCTTTGACCACTGGAGCTGCACTGACTTCCCCAAATGTGGCTACTCAGTGCTGACTGATGGAGTCACTCAACCACGTCACGGACTCCTTTGTCTGTGGCCCTGGGTCACTTTGAAAATATCATTTGTAGGTTTCACAGCTTCTGGGCTGTGACGAGGAGAGCAGTCTGTTCACTCTGGGGAATGTGAGAGAAAAGATGGGAAACAAGACAAAAAAGGATCCAGCCCCCCTAGTCCCCCAGCATAGCTGTAGACCTTCACCCACTCAGAGACAAAATAACCATCCTGTAGCAGAACTCTTGACAGAAAGAGGTTTGTCATCTGCTCTGACCTGGGCTCCGATGGAATCTTTGAACATTTAGACATTTTTTGAGACATGTTAAGGCTGTTTCTGTCTTTGGGTGTGAGCACCTGAAAACCTTGTGCTCAGCCCTGAGCCTGGAGAGCAAGGTACAGCCTTCCCCCTGCCAGCGCCTGTAGTTCTGGGCTCTTCTCTTTCCAGATGAGTGAGGCTCACAGGCTTTTGTTGGGCCCCCTATTGGTCCCGGTGAGAACTAGAGATGGACACTTAACATGGGAGGCGGGAGTGAGGATAACAGACATTTCCATAGGTCCTGGAAGAGGGCAGCCCTGCCAGGGTTTCCACTGGTCACCCGTCAGCCCTCTTAGGTGAACCAGGCTGAAGGAGAGGAAGCCTTGACCTTCAGCTGCAGCTATTTCAACCTTGAAGGGACACTCCTTTGTGCTCAGTCACCAGAGACTTTCCAAGTGCGCCCGGGGAGGAAGCCCATGCTTCGTGGAAGATGGGAGCTGGTGCAAAAGATGAGCACCTCTGCTGCCTCACCATCTTGTTTGCCTCTGGTGAATTTCTTTAGGAGGAGGGAGAGTTGGGCACACTTTGCTCCACTGCCCTACAGGCCTCTCCTGCTATGGAAAGCCAAGGATCCCCTCACAGTTGAGGTGTTGTGATGTGCTGGAGGCAGCCAGGGTCAGGCAACAAGGGGTCAGGGTTAGGGAGCCATGACGGTAGTCACTCAGTGAGGATCCTTCGTAGAGTGGCTGTCAGAGTCCACCCTCCCATGGGACTCTCAGACTGCACACAGGAAGTTCTCTGCCGATGTCTACACTCTGGGACCCACTGCCCACCACTTCCTCCTCAGGGCAATGAAGAAAGCGTCTGGAAGGTGGGGAGGAACACTGTGCTTATGCCAGGCTTAGTAGTGGTCCCCAGGTTCTTCCAACCCCCATAAGTAAATGTTTACATCCAAAGGCCCTTTCTGCAGGGAGTGAAATAATCAACTTCAAATAGGCTGGGTGAGGTGGCACGTGCCTTTAATCCCAGCACTAGGGAAACAGAGGCAGGCGGATCTCTGTGAGTTTGAAGCCAGTCAGAAGTACACAGTGAGACCTTGTGTCAAAAACAGCGGGGGGGGGGGCAGCATCCTTGCTGAGTGGGACTAAACTCAAACACATAAAGCCAGTAGCAACACAGGGAGATCTGGCAAGAAAGCAAACAGAGACCACTTGGAGGTGAAGGCCAAGGCCAAGTGAGGCGCCTTTGAACTGAGGGGGACCTGGAGCCAAGAAGGCTGAGGAACAGGCCTCGGTGCCTGGAAATAGGTAAGCCTGCTCGGATCCATTCTTTATTTTTAATGCTTTTTTTAGATTTATACTTATTTTATGTGTCAGGATGGCTGAGTGGTCTAAGATTTATACTTCTTTTACTTTATGTGTATGAATATTTTGGCTGTGTACATCACTGTATTTGTACCTATCGGGACCTTGGAATTAAAATTGCAGACAGTTGCAAGCTGTCATGTGGGTGCTAGGAATCAAACCCAGGTCCTCTGAAAGAGCAGCCAGTGCTCTTAACTGCCGGGCATCTCTCCAGCCCCCACCCCACTTATTGTTTGTTTATTTTGTTTGTTTGAGACAAGGTCTCCTGTAGCCCAGGCTGGCCTTGAACTCTTTATATAGCCAAGGGTGATGTTGAACTCCTGGTCCTTTGGTCTCTACCTCTCGAGTGTTGTGATGACTAGCATGCACCCCACACCTGGTTCCTGCTCCTGTCCTGGGTGCTATGAGGGGTCAATATCTGTGAAAGTCAGTTAGTCAATGGTCATTTGTCCCCCCACTCTTGAAGCGGTCCATAGAGGCCAGGGGCCTTGTGTTTGGATTCCAGCCCTGCTGCTTGCTAACTGGCTGGTATGCGGAAATCATCGCCTCTTGGTTGGCACAACCACTCCAGAAGGGCTGCCAGGTGACCAGGGTCCTCAAATGGCTGTGGCCATTCTCACAGATGCTGATCAGTGCTGTGCAGGAACTTCTGGAACAGGAAAGACATCATGCCGCCCTTCAGGAGGGTCTTCGGTGTGAGCTCTTGCGAATGGTTGGAGGCTTCTGGAGGTCTTGAAATGCTACCAAGTGTGCCTGTGGTCATAGTTACTCAGAGCAAACCCAGAGCAGGAGCCAGACCAGCACTGCATCCCTGGAGATGTCGCATAAACACACTCAAAGTCACCAGGCCCCAGTTCAAGAGGGACAGAGACTAACTCTAAGTATCTGAGGAGGAAGCATCCAGAAGGATCCTTAAAACAAACAGAAGGCGTGGGAATCAGGCACTGAAAATGGAGAGCTTGCTCTGCCCACAGGGATGTACTTCTACCCTGGTGTCTCCACCCATCCTGCTGTGCTCCTTGGGAGCATCACCAGCAAGAGTTCTGCTGGCAGAACTGGAGACAGAGCCATATTAAGGTAAGGCCACACAGGCCCCGCTCATTGGCAATCTGGGCACTGGACCTCAGGAGAGCAGCATCCTAGCTGTGGCTAGGATTGTACTTCCTCCCCATATAAATGGTTGACAGCCAGTCCAGCCCCGAGGAATGCAGCCAAGGGAACAACAGAAGGAGCAGAGGAGCCCTTTCTCTGTCCACCTGGCTCCTGGCTCCTCATTTCACCTCCCCACCTGTCCCATGGGCTATGGGAAGGTACTCTGCACACCCTGAGCTGGGCACTTACTCCCACCCTGGTCTGCCCTTGATGGAAAGCCAGGAACCAGACCAACATGACCTAAACCCACTTGATCACAGCTCAGTGGTGATGGGAGCCCTTAGTGGTGAATCCAGGGATAGCTGGCAGGTGCTATGAGTCCCTACCCCAGCTTAGATCAGTCAGATTAGCCTGTGATGGACCTGCCTTCCTGCTCTGTGAGCCCCTTCTGTAGTCTAGGGGCAGACAGCCTCTGCTGCAGTGGCTTCTTGCAGTGGGGAAGCTGGGTCAAGGGCCAATCCCAAAACACCCAGGGGACTCTCCCATTAGATTTTTGAAGGTATGATTAAAAAAAAATGTACCCTCTGACAAGTCTCTTTTTCCAAGCTGAAGAGTCCTGGAAACACCAGGTGACATCTACTTCTATGATGAGATAAGCATAGGAACCTTCAGGCCATACCTGGAAAACAGTTGACTGGGCATATTCTTTGTAGCATTTCTCAACAACTAGAGAGAGAGAGAGAGAGGGAGAGAGAGAGAGAGAGAGAGAGAGAGAGAGAGAGAGAGAGAGAGAGAGAGAGAGAGAGAGAGAGAGAGAGAGAGAGAGAGAGAGAGAGAAAGAGAGAGAAAGGAAGAAGGTTCTAAATCAACACACCTTTAAAATTCAGATGCAGCCCACTCTGTAAAATTTAGAAACTACACCACAAATTTCACCCTCTACCCTGATTTTGAAGGGCATAGGTGTGTGTGTATGTGTGTGTGTGTGTGTGTGTGTGTGTGTGTGTGTCTGCCATGGTGCATATGTGAGGATTGGAAGACAACTGATGGGAATCAGTTCTCTTGTTTCATCATGTGGATCCTGGGGAATGAATTCAGGTTTCCTCAAGCACCTTTATTTGCTAAGTCATCTTGTGGGTCCCTCAAAGCACAATTCTAAGAGGTTTTTTTTTTTGCGTGGATTTCTGTTTTTTGTTTTGTTTTTGTTTTGCTTTTGTTTTTTCAAGACAGGGTTTCTCTGTGTAGCCCTGGCTGTCCTGGAACTCACTCTGTAGACCAGGATGGCCTAGACTCACAGAGATCCACCTGCTTCTTCTTCCCCAGTGTTGGGATTAAAGGTCTGTGCCACCACCACCCAGCTAACTTTGAGAGTTTTAACAAATATTAGTCCCACATTCACAATACAGAACATTCTAGTGACCTACAATCATCCTCTTCCCCATTGGTGGTCAGTCTGCCCCCTTGACTGTGAACCAGCCTTTTGTCTTGTCTTTTCCAAAGTTTGACACTGAATTTTAATAGAAATAATAAAGCCAGGTGTGAAAGCTCAGGGCTGTAAACCCAGTACATGATAAGCTGAGACAGGAGGATTGCCTTGAAATCACAGCCAGCCTAGGCTTCATAGTGATTTCCAGGTTAGCCAGGGTTACATAGAGAGACCCTGTCTCAAAACAACAGCAGCAGCAGCAATGAATAAATAAATAAAAACAGGACACTAAGCTGGAGGGAGATTTTGTGCTGGGTTCTAGAGGGAGTTGAAGGGAGGTAGTGGTGAATGGACATGATCAACACAACTTATGGAACTGGGCCAGGAGGGATGTTTCAGTGGCTAAGAATGAGTACTACTCTCCCAGAGGGCCTGAATTGCCTTCCCTGTACCCACATCAGGCAGCTTACAAACCAGCTGCAGAGGCATATCTCACCTCTGACTTTTCCAGGCATCTGCATTTATTAGCCTATGCCCACACACAGACAGACACACATACACATAATTTTAAAAAAATAGTAAGGAATTTTCAAAGAATAAGAAATACTATTTTTTTTTCTTTCAATCAACGGACCCCCAAGCTAAGCCCTTCTGGCCATCTGGGCATCTGCGTGGGCTCTGAGAAAACAGCAGAGGTCACAGAAGTCCTGCTCACTGACTCCATGAGATGTCACTCTAGAAACACAGTCTTAGCACCACACGGGGTACTGCAAATTCCGGGAACCTGATCTGCAAGTCTGAAAGCTACAGAAGGCAGGCACCCCCTCCTCTCACACCTGGAGAGTCTGTAGGGTGGCAACAGCGCCCCCTGCTGGCAAAAATAGTTGTTTTTTTTTTCCTTTCTCCTTTTTCCTCCCTGGGGTACCCACCAAAACCTAGGAGTGGTTATCCCGGTTGCCAGGGCACATGCCCTCATTCTCTCTGTAAGCCTGTTTCATTCAGGACTCACTCCTTACTTCCAGATCATTGCTGAACTATGGAAGGCCGGTTATAACCGACTCACATTCTCTGCGTGAACAACACAAGCTGTTGTTCTATTTATGAAGAAAAGGTCTGAGCGCTCTATGTCCATTCTTCCGAACGACCCACAAGAAAAGCCCAGAAGCAGGCTGGTGCGACTGGCCCAGAGTTCATCATGTAGCCAGCTGTGGATCTGCCAGAGACAGGCCACCCTGCCTGTCACACACAAGGCTCTGTCTTCACCTCTCAGAGTCTCGTTTTCCGCCTGTTCAGAGGTGGTAGTAAAACCCAAGATGGGAAGAATGTTCCTGTGGGGTTCCCCATGAACCCTACAGACATTTCTCAGAGCACTCCATTACCAACCACTCTTCCGGGTGTCTGAGAAGGAAGCCAAATGGAATGGGATACTACCAACCGTATTCTACCCTCCAGCCCAATTTGGGGGCACTCCTCAGTGAAACCTCGCCAACCTCCCCGGTACCCCACATTTATCACGGACATTAAAACGAAAGCGGCAGAAGGCAATTAAGATTAATAGTCTGCGCTGTCGATTGAGAATCACAAGGGGGAAGTAATTAGATTTTACAGGAGGCATCGCTCTCTAAACCAAGCCTCACAGCATGGGAGTCCCCGGTCCAGAGACCTTTCGATGATGTCTTTTTGAAAAGGCTTTCCTGGTGACATTTCTCCCAGCGCTTCGTCATTAACGCCAGTCACTGATGGCGTCTGAATGTGGCGTGTTCCTCATTGAGATTCATCAGACCTGCCATCTCCTGCTGTCCCGCCCCTGCAGACGGACCTCCCATCACCACTGAACGAGGCCAGTACCTCTTTCCCCAAACCAGCCTCCCGGGGGCCCCACACCAAGGAGTTGGGGGATTGAAGGCATAATGAGAAAGGATAAGGGCTGAGCCAAAGACCCCTGCGAGGACCCTTTCTTCAAGGCCGGGGAATTCTCTGCAGGCTGCCTCCTTTCTTTGCAAGAGAGGCTCATGGAGAGGCCCCTATTCTCCTCCCACCTGACCCATCTGCCGCCAGCGGAGTCCACCGTTGCTCCTGCCAGGGCCCCTCCTCACCGGTAGGCAGCTGTCCCTCGCGCACAGACTCAGGGGCCTGATCACAAACCCAGGAGGGGACCCGCGGCCTGTCCTGCCTCTGCCTGTTGGTCAGCCCACCCTCCTCGAAAGTCGCAGCCCCAGTGACGTTAGCCTGGCGGAGACCACGCGCACGAGAGGCAGAGGACGCTCGGAGCGCGGCTCGGGGCGCTGTGGAGACCGAAACTGGGGCTGAAGCGCCACCTAGTGCGCGCGACGTGCTCCCACGACGTCTCCACTGTCAGGAGCAAATATCCAGGGAAAGGAGGCCTAGGTCTGGGGCTAGGAGACATGAGAGAGTCGGATCTGCGAGGAAAATCTGCGAGGGAGAGGACCCAAGACTCAAACTGGGGACCAAAGAGGCAGAGCTCTGCGTGCCTTGCTAGTCTCTAGTGACCGTCCAAAGTGCATCCCTCTGAGAGCCCAGGGCCGGGGGACCTCAGGAATTAATAGTAAAATTAAAACCGCCTATGCAATAGCCACCAGGCTGGTACACATTGGAACACTTGCTCCCCGGGACACGAAGGGGAGTGGGAACAACTCCTCCAGTAGATCTGGCCGGTTTGGGCGGGGTCACTGGGGGTGGGCCTGAGAGGGTGTGTGCAGGGGGCGGAGACTTGATGCAATTAGGAGGAGAAACGCTGTGATGCCACGGTCACCTACCCGCGGGCCAGCCGGACGAACCGTATATAAGGCGGCGTGCCCGGAGTCAAAGAGCCGTCGGAGCAGCAGCGCTGCGCGCACCGCGCTGCAAGCGCCCGCTCCTTATTGGCCAGGGAACTCTGTGCCTGCCATCCGCGTCCCCACTGCATCGCAGTCTCTGTGCCACCTTTTTAACCGCGCCTCACGACCCCTCCGGAGGTGCCATGTGGAGAACGAAGAACGGGCGTGCTGTGGCCCGAGCCCTGGTCCTGGCCACTTTGTGGCTGGCCGTGGCTGGCCGTCCTCTGGTTCCGCAAACCCTGACTTTGTCCAATGACGACCCACTCGTTCTCTACGGTTGGGGCAAGAGCACCCGCCTGCAGTACCTGTACGTCGCTGGTCCCCACATCTCCAACTGCTTCCTGAATATCCGTAGCGATGGCTCCGTGAACTGCGAGGATGAACAAAACGAGCGAAGTGAGTGTCGGCCAGCGCGTCCCCTCGGGCCCCTTACGTCCCCAGAGCTCCCGTGCGTGCTACCGCGGCCTTAGCACATCCCTTGGACTCTCAGACTGGTCTGGGGAGGGGCGAGAAGCAGTGTGGTTCCGCCGTACCCACGTGTTGCTGGGTCCCGGCTGCAGCTTCTTCCTTCTCTTTCTCGCAGGTTTGCTCGAGTTCCGCGCGGTCGCTCTGAAGACGATTGCCATCAAGGCGGTCAGCAGCGTGCGGTACCTCTGCATGAGCGCGGACGGCAAGATACAGGGGCTGGTGAGTGTTCCCCCACGAGGCGGGATGCTCCGGGACGCGCTGGGTCCGTGTTGGGTCTTCACACCCCCTGCTCAGGCCTATAAGGAATTTCGAGGGCAAGATAGCTAGTGCTAGTAAAACTAATGTGACCGCCGCCCCCCCCCCCCGCGGAAGGCGATGGCCCCAGGCTGTACCCGGGAATGACGAGCCCAGTGGAGCGTGTCTAATCCTCGCAAAGGCTGGCTCGGCTGGCTGCTGAGTCCCATTCAGTTTTCGGTCCTTTTGATATTGAACAGGAAAACCCACCTCTGCCCCTTTCATCTCCCCCCTTCGCGTGTGTGTGGTCCTCGATTTCCTTTCTTTACCTCAAGTGAAAGAAAAAAAAGAAAGGAAATGTCTTTCAGTCAATTCCTATGTCCTAGGAACACGGTGTGATGTAGGGACTAGAATACTTGAGAATGTCCCTAAGGGGCTCACCTGTTTGGGAGCTGGGGAAATGGGAGAGGGGAGGGCTGGTCAGGTCCAGGTAACCCCTGAAACCCGGGAGACTGGAAGTATGAAGGCTAGGGCTCTGTGGGAGCAAAAGCTGCGAGTTCAAAGAAGCCTTCAGCCCTCCCTCTGGCAGTACAAGAGAAGGCTGCGTGAGGTCCGTTGGCCAAGGCCTCCCATCCAGCCCTGGAGGAGCAGGGACTGGGGTTAGGAGGTTCCTATGGGGAACGATGGCTACCCGGCTCAAAGTTTTTGCTTTGTTTTTTCTTTAAAAGTCTCAAAATTGTTTTGTGGACTCTGAGATGGATTTAGCTACATGAAAAGACTACAGAGGAAGAAAGGGGTCTGCACAGGAGGGAGGGGTCTGCACAGGAGGGAGGGGTCTGCAGAGAAGGGAGGGGTCTGCACAGGAGGGAGGGGTCTGCAGAGAAGGGAGGGATCTGCAGAGAAGGGAGCCAGTTTATAAAGAAGGGGCTCCACTGTCTGTCTGAAAGCTGACACCCCAGCCCTGAACATATCTCCCATCACACTGTCTTCCTGAGATATTTACTTGTGGCTAGGGCACTGGGAGGAGGGTTCGACCCCCAGTCTACCCTAATCTAAATGGGGTGGGAATGCCCATGGGAACTTTGCCCCTCACTCAATTCCAGTGCTGTCCCGGATCTATTGGGCATGGTTCCATCACAAATTCTCCCTGACTTTTTTTTTAAATAGAAGCCCCACAATCTATCATTCCTATATGAAGAAAGGCTGACCAATTCTCCCTAAAAATTCTCCAAGAGGAATGCATCCTGTGTTTATCTACACTTCACATTTTTCAGGGAACGTGGCCCCTACTGCCTGGTGGCTCTATCCCCGTGCCATCAGCCGGGGCCGGAGCTGTGGGTTCTGGGAATTAGCCTGTTATCAGAACCTTATCTGCCATCACTCTTCCACCTGCCGTTCAGCGACCTCGGCAGGCGGCTTGTGTTTACCGAACCTTCCAGGCTTCCCAAAGGGATGTGGCACCAGTTTGGGAGACTGCCACTGGTACCTCAGTCCTGGGGACTCGGAATGTTCTGGTATTGAGGATGGGGACCAGGGACAGCTTCCTGCAGCACACATTTCCGGCCACCCACAGGGTCGGGGCTTGGTCCTGGGTGTGGGGGAGGGGCTATGGATTATCAGGCAGGTCCTGGCCAGCCGCCTGTGAGGGGGCTTCTCTACACAATGGTAAGAGACCACCTCAGCAGTAGAAAAGCACGCGCGCTGTAAGTCTAGACAGGAACACTAGCTTTATCCCCAGCCCCAGGCAAGGCTGAAGCGGGGGTGGAGGGGCAGAGTTCAGAAAGCTGAGAAATAACGGTCAGAATTTAATGTCAGTAGTTAAAAGTCAGGGAGACTTGCCAGTAACTACATGGGGATTTCTCTGCCTAAGGCTAGGATGGATAATTGGTACACACCTAGCAGCCCAACCCTCTGGAAGCTGAGGTAGGATTGCTGTGAAGTCAAGGCTACAGAGTGAGACCCTGTTTCAAAACGTGCCAGGACTGGGGAACGGAGCTCAGCTGGTGAGGTGGTTGCCTAGCATGCTCAAAGCCTTGGGTTCAACTGAGCACTGCATAATCCCAGTCATGTTGCTCACTGGTCATCCCAACTCTTGGGAAGTGAAAGGCAGGAGGATCAGGAGTTCAAGGTCAACATAGGGTTTTTGAGACTTTCGAAATGAAAACCCAGGCCTGATGTGATTAAGGATGCCTTTATCCCATACTCAGGAGGCAAAGGCAGGTGAATCCTTGAGTTCAAGGCCAGCTTGTCCTACATAATGAGTTCCAGGCCAGCCAGGGCTACATATAGTAAGACTCTTGTCTAAAGAGAAAGTGCTGGAATATTTGTGGGGTGAGCTAACAGGGGCAGTCTCATGCAACCCGGGTTGGCCTTGAACTCCTGATCTCTTGCCTCTGCCTCCCAAGTCATGGGATGAGAGGTGAGCGTCACCATGCTTGGCTTTCCATGTACTTCAAGGACAACACACTGACGATGGCTGTGGGGACAGAACACCACTGCAGTGCTTATGCTCACAGATGCTTGTTTCTTTCTCCAAAGATTCATTACTCGGCGGAAGACTGCACCTTCAGTGAGAAATGGGACTCTGTAAGTTTCAACCAGTACAAATCCCCAAATCACCACCTCTATGTCGTCCTCTTCAGGAACAAATACAGGCAACGGCTCCAGGACAAAAACCCCTCAAACTTTCTTCCTGTGTTTCCCCGGTTCTTGGAAGCCAGAGACCAGCTGGAGTCAAAAATGTTGTCTCTGATCGTGGATTCCGACAACATGGATCCACTTGGGATAATGGAGGACATGGAGATAAACAGCCCCAGCTTTCAGAAATGATGGGGTTCCGACAGGAGGAACACCCCACTGTCCCATGAACTTCCCCTTGGGAAGATGTGCCAGAAGCTGTACATATTCTAAGTCTCGTATTGACCATGTGTGGTTCTAGTGGCTAGACTTGATCATGAGCCTAAACTGACCACCTGCCTAGCTGCCATCTGAGCCCCACTGATTAGGCGGCTGCTGACTGTGGCTAGGTTACTCCAGTTCTGTTTGAATACCTCCACTCATGGGGACCTTATTCCTATGAAACGTTTCTGTGAATCTGTGTGATTAGGACATTTTCAGCAGGCCAGCCAGAAGATGTGAAGTCATTTAAAATTCATGTGCAGGAGGTGGGCTCTGAAGTAATGTGTTGACTGACTGGACCTTGTGGGGTCTCAACTTGCCCCCAGTTGTCTCTTGGCTACAACTGCCGGGAGGATCACAAGCTTGGAGCAAAGGGCAGCTAGGAAAACCTTGGGAGCCTTGCAGGATGGTTTTGGAATTAAGAATTCCAGCTGACCACTTAATTCCCTTTTCCCCCACATCTCGATGTCAGATGGACATCTAGGCTCAGGAGTGGATTCCTCAGCTGAGTGGGTAACTAAACTGCCACTTGAAGCCCAGTAGCTTGTCTTGGTCATGAGCCTCTAGACCTGGCCAGGTCACACCCCTTTTCGAAGCTCACCTGGGCTCTCCAACCCCAGAGCATAGAGCACATGGGCCATCTACTTGTGCCTTTTGCCCCCAGCTCCTGACTCTTGTCCCTGGTCATCAAGCATTATGTGGATCAGTATGTCACCCGCTGCCTGTATCAACTTGCACCCCTCATTTGCAAACAACAAGATTAGGAAACCCTAAATTTTTCAGCAACTGCAGGGGAGATGTGGAATCCTTTCCACAGCACTTACTCGGCAGTGTGATATTTATAAGTAATTTATTTTGTATACATCTCTTATTTTCTTACTTTATTTATGCCCCAGATCATATTTATGTACATGACATTTGTTTTCTACATTAAAAAGGAGTTGGTTTGTATCAAAAGTTGTTCTGTTCCAAGTGGGAAGCAAATGAGGCAGAAAAGAGCCACAGGAGGGGTGGCCGCTATCCTAGACGGGGGGGGGACCTGGCCGCTCATACCCAACCACCAGGTCACATCGGGTAGACACAGTAGCTTAAGTCAGAAAGCCCTACTGTCGGCTTTTGTTATCTGGGGACACTGGTGGGTGAAAAATTACATCTCCCTTTTTAGTTTTTGGTCTTGGGACTTGCTAAATAGGCCAAGCTGGCCTCTACCTCACAAGTCCACCTGCCTTTGCCTCTCTAGTGCTGGGATTAGAGGCGTGTGCCACCATACTCAATTACCAAAATAGTATATATGCATGTATGTCTTGTAAAGTGAGGATGTCACAAGAAACTGATTCTTTATATCAGTATCAAGGGCAGAGGGAACCTGGCATTTTGCCCAGGTCCTGATGCCTTCCTGTCTACCAAATTGAGAAAGCCAAAGCTTGCTTAAACTTTTTGTCAAATTCCTCTGCCATCTAGGAACCAGGACTTTACCAGATACCAGATATTCACTGCCCCTCAGCCCCCCCCCCTGCAGCTAGGCATGCTGGGAAAGCAAGTGATGCTGGTGATGTTGTCAAATGGATCAAGGAAGCAGGGCTGAGTGATAGGGAGAGGGCAGAGTGCATCCAGCTGGTGGGTTCAACAACGATTCTGACTTCTGGAGGAGGGGCAGGAGCTGGGTGGCTCTGATGGGGTGGCTGAGGCTCTTTGCCATAGCTGTCCCCTAGGGACTCAGAAAGAGGCAGAGGTGAGTGGCTTCCCCACAGGAAACAAAGGGCTTAGACCTTTAGCCTCTGAGCAGTGCAGTCACCACGCAGCTCTGATTTACCTCTTCTAAATTAGAAATTGACTCTAGAAAAGCTTCCAAGGACCAGAACGGAGAAAGGGGAGATAGGAGCCAGAGATGGAACTGGGCCTGGCTGTGACACTGCTGAGACTCATTTCATTCTGGGCCCCATTTCCTGCCAGACAGCTTCTGATATCCTGGAGTCTCAGAGATGTGTCTTTTGGTATGCTAATGGCCTTCCTGAGCTGGAATCCCTGACCCTCCAAGCCTGGATGAGCCTCACCCACCCGACTTCAGGGAGGCCCAGGGACTGATGTTGACCTGATCACAAGCACCTAGGCAGCCGAGCTGATCCATCATGCCTATTCTATGAAGTCTCCGAGCAACCTTTAGCACCTGGCTCAGAGCAGCTTCTGGAAGCTTCTGAACTTGTAGCTCAGGCAGCCCCTGGGAGGTCTTCTCTCCACCCTGGCTCCCTGCATCTGCCCTTCTCTGTCCTTTATAATAAATTGTCTGAGCACAGGTGGCATGCACCTCTAATCCTAGCCCTTGGGAAGCAGATGCAAGCAGATCTCCTGTGAGCTTGCAGCCAGCCTGATCTACATAGTGAGTTCCAGGAGAGCCAGAGATATGTATTGAGACCCTGTCTTTAAAAAATCGTAATAAATACAGTCTGCTGGTTGGTAGACCAAATTAGTGGAAACCAAGGAAGAAGGGTCATGATTGGACATCAAACTTGTATTCAGTGGGGCCAAAGCCTAGCAGGAATGCTGAGTTGAGGGTGGGGTGCCTCACCAGCAGAATCTGCTGCTGCTGCTTCTCTGGGCAGATGTGGCTGAACTGATGTGTGTGGGGGGGTGTTCCTGAAGCAGTCACCTGGTGGAGGTGAGAGACCATAAAAGGAATCTGCATTGTAAACAGACGTTAGGGAAACAGCTTATGCTTTTGTCTTGCACAGACTTGGGCTCCCCTCCCCTGCAGTGATGGCTATGTGATAGGGACTTGGTGGCAGTGACTGGCATTGTCTGTTGTGCCTGCTGCATCTTCCACTTGGTGATTTTTCAAGATAGGGTTTCTCTGTGTTGTCCTGGCTATTCTGGAGCTAGCTCAGTAGACCAGGCTGACCTCAAACTCACAGAGATCCACCTGCTTCTGCCTCCCAAGTGCTGGGATTAAAGGGGTGTGCCACCACTGCCCAGCAACTTGGTGTTTTGCTTTATGACCATTTCTTCACAGAGGTTTCCCACATTTGCATTTGTTTTGAGGGATTTCATCACTGCTTATCAAGCATTCCTGTTGTGTATGCTCATACTCCTTGGCTTGTGTTTATTGTCGTTTTTTTTCTGAGGCAGGGTCTCATTATGTGGTCCTGGGAGAGCCAGAGATAGGTATTGAGATCCTTCTCAGCATCCTGAGTGTTGGGACTACAGCTGTGTGCAACCAGTCAATTTTGTAACATTACCTCCCTCGATCCCTGCTTTCATTCCTCTTTTCCTGCTACTTCTTGCTTACTCAATTGCTCGATGCCCCTGCCCCCCAGGGTTCTCACTGAAGAAAGCCTGAACCACAGGACAGGGGTCTGCAGACAGTGTACATGAGCTGTGTTTGATGCCCAGCTGGAGAAACCAGTAGTAAAAAGATAAAGTTCTTTTGGAGTAGGATGGAAATTGAGATAGGGTTTCACTATGTAACCCAAGTTGACCTGGAACTTACTGTGTATCCTAGAACTGACTGTAATCCTCCTGCCTCATTCTCCCACCATGTCTGAGATTCAAACTTTAAAAAAAGTTTACTTTAATGTTATTTATTTGTTTACTTGTTTATTTGTTTAATTATTTTCTGAGGCAGGGCCTCTCTGTCTTAGCCCTGGCTGTCTTCAAATTCACTGAGATCCTTTTGCCTCTCCCTCCATGTACCATCATGCCTGGCCGCCTGTGTTTTGATGTTGTCTGGGCTGGAGATGGATCCAGGGCCTCATGAGCCTGCACATGCTCATCACCAAACTGTGAGTTCCAGCCCCTCCCCCAAACATGTTCTCTTCACACCCACCTCCTGGAGGATGTTGCAATGACTGGCTACCCTGTGTCTGCCACCCACCTGTGGGTTCCTGTATGACCATGTAGAGTAGAACCCCCCAAGACCTGTAGTGGATACAGGAACTGTGTGCATCTGGGGAGCAAACCTCAGGCAGCTATGTGAAGTCACAGAGGTTTGAGGCTAGTCTCTCATGGTGGCTGCCCAACCTCATGGGTACAGTCTCAGATAAGAGGAGTGGATAAGAGCATGTCTGCATGAAAGGATGGGCACAAACATACATCACATACATCCACCCAGTGCAGAGAACCTGGGCAAAAGAAGGCAGAAGAAACAGAGCGGGCAGGGACAGGGCTCAGTGGTGGACTGCAGGCTGAGCAAGCCAGACGCTCTGAGCTCCATCAGGGGGTCTTGTAAGAAACAGAAAGAAACAGGTAAGAATCTGCCTCTGGGGATAAGGAAGTGGAAGAGGTCTTTCTCTATAACCCTCTTTTTCATTTCTTTTTTCAAAAACATTTAAGAGGATCTGGGGAGAGGAGTGTTGCAGGAAAAGGAGTAAATTGGAAATCATGTTAAATGAAATAAGACAGACTCTGGCCAGCATCAGGGCTCAGCGAGTAAAGGGATTTGCCAACAAGCCAGACTACTGAGTTCTGTCTCTGGATCCCACATGGTAGAAGTTGTCCTCTGACTTCCATATGTTTGCATGCACACAAAATAAATACTTAAAATGCTTAAAAACGAAGCCAGACTCAAAAGCAAACACTGCATGTTCTCTCTTATTCACGGGAACCCAAGTTTAATTGTATATATGTGGAAGCTGGAGAGACTGCTCAGCAGTTAGGAGCACTGATAGCTCTTGAAGAGGATACAGGTTTGGTTCCCAGGACCCACAAGGCAGCTCACAACTGTAACTCCAGTTCTAAAGGATCATACAACCACTTTTGGTCTCTTCAGGCACCGCATGCATGCATGCTCATGTATTCATGCAAACAAAACACCCATACATAATTTTTAAAAAATCTTTTAAAAAATAAGAAAAGTTTTGTGTATATATTTATACGAGTACATGTGTCTGTGTGTCACAAGACTAGACAGGGGTTCATGAAAGGAGAGGAAGAGATCTTGAAGGAACATGAGGAGGAAGAAAATGGAATTCACATGACCTGAAAAAAGAGGTCTGGGGGATGGCTCAGTGGTTAAAGCACTTGTCAGAGGCATCAAGACTGGAACTCAGTACCCACATAACTGGGATAAGGGTGGCACCCACCTGTAATTCCAGCCTCTGAGGACAGAAATAGAGGCTCCCCACAGCAAGCCAGTTAGGGAGGCTAGCTAGCCATATAGGTGAGCTCAGAACTAAGTGGAAGAATATTGGAGGTTCCCAACATCAGCCTCAGACTTCCTCACACCCACATATGTACACGTTAAACACCCACACACACACACACACACACACACACACACACACACACACACAATATGCCAGCACTCAGGAGGCAGAGGCAGAGGTAGAGGTAGGTTTGAGGCTAGCCTATTCTGATCTATATAGCTATATAGTGACTTCCAGGCCATCCAGGACCATGTAATGAGAGCCTGTTAAAACCAAAAGAAAACAGCTGAGCGTTGGTGGTGCACGCCTTTAATCCCAGCACTCGGGTGGCAGAGGCAGGTGGATCTCTGTGAGTTCGAGGCCAGCCTGGCCTACAGACCGAGTTCCAGGACATCCTCCAAACCAATACAGAGAAGCCCTGTCTCAAAAAGCCAAAAACCAAAACCAAAACAAAACAAAACCTGGCCTGGTATAGTGGCATATGCCTTTAATTCCAAGACTCGTGATGCAGAGGAAGGAGGATGTCTATGACTTTGAAGTCTGTTCAGACTGCTTAGTGAGACAATGAGGGTTACATAGTGAGACCCTGACTCAAAAAACAAAAACAGGGATTGGAGAGATAGCTCAGTGGTTGAGAGCACTGGCTGCTCTTCCAGAGGACCCACGTTCAATTCCAGCAACCACATGGTAGTTCACACCTGTCTGTAGCTCCAATTTCAAGGTTTCCAACACCCTCACACAGACATTCATGGAGGCAAAACACCAATGGTATATGCATATAAAATATGTACAAATATATATGAAATACATATACCCCCC